TGGAAGTGCTCACTCATCTAAACCAAGAAATTTGGAAGACAGCTACCTGGCCAACTGACTGGAAGAGATCCACATTTATGCCTATTCCCAAGAAAGGTGATCCAACAGAATGCAGAAATTATCTACAAATACCATCAATATCACACACGAGTAAAATCTTGCTAAAGATCATTTAAAAGAGGTTGTAGCAGTATAATGACAGGGAACTGCCAGAAATTCAAACAGGATTCAGAAAAGGACATGGAAGCAGGCATATATCACTGCTCATGTCAGATGGATCTTGGCTGAAAGCAGAGAATACCAGAAACACATTTACCTGTGTTTTACTGACTATGCAAAGGCATTCAACTGTGTGGATCATAACAAATTATGGATAACATTGCAAAAAATGGGAATTCCAGAACACTTAATTGTGCTCATGAGGAACCTGTACATACAACGACAGGCAGTCATTTGAACAGAAGAAGGGGATACTTCGTGATTTAAAGTCAGGAAAGTTGTGTGTCAGGGTTGTATCCTTTCACCATACTTATTCAGTCTGTATGTTGAGCAAATAATCAGAGAAGCTGGACTATATGAAGAAGACGGGTGATGCAGATGACACAAGCTTCCTTACTGAATGTGAAGAAGACTTGAAGCACTTACTGATGAAGATCGAAGACTACAGCCTTCAGTATGGATTACACCTCAACATAAAGAAAACAAAAATCCTCACAACTGGACCAATAAGCAACATCAGGATAAACGGAGAAAGGATTGATGTTGTCAAGGATTTCATTTTACTAGGATACACAATCAACACTCTTGGAAGCAGCAGTCAAGAAGACGCACTGCATTGGGCAAATCTGCTGCAGAGGACTTTCAAAGGGTTGAAAAGCAAAGATGTCATCTTGAAGACTAAGGTGTACCTGACCCAAGCTATGGTGTTTTCACTTGCCTCATATGCATGCGAAACCTGGACTATGAATAAGGAAGACCAGAGAAGAATTGACGCCTTGGAATTGTGGTGTTGGTGAAGAATATTGAATATACCATGGACTGCCTAAAGAACCAACATATCTGTCTTGGAAGAATTACAACCAGAATGCTCCTTAAAAGCATGGAGCACAAGACCACGTCTCACATACTTTGGACATGTTATCAGGAGAGATCAGTCCTGGGAGAAGGTCATCATTCTTGGTAAAGTGGAGGGCCAGAGAAAAAGAGGAAGACCCTCAACAAGATGGATTGACACAGTGGCTGCAACAATGGGCTGAAGCATAACAACCATTGTGAGGATAGAGCAGGACTGGGCAGTGTTTCGTTGTGTTGTACATAGGGTCGCTATGAGTCAGAACCGACTTGACGGTACCTAACAACAACAAATGATGACCAGGTTATACGTAGCATGGCTTCTGGGCATTTGGATTTTTTTAACACTCCCTAGGTGAGTCTAACGTGCAGCAAAGTTTGAGAAACACTCAATTTAAACCTGAAGCAAATGAAGCAAGAAGAGTTTTGACAGCAGGTTGGACATGAGAGTCCAAGTAGATCCTCATAATGTACAAACTCGGGCATTTTATATAGCTTAGACTTTTCCGAACAATCATAATTAATCCGTTCTTGTGTTTTCTGAAAACACAGGTCACCAAAGGCTCCACCTGTGCCGTGTTTGGCCTTGGAGGAGTTGGCCTGTGTGCAGTCATGGGCTGTAAGGCAGCAGGAGCGGCCAGGATCATTGCAGTGGATGTCAACAAAGACAAATTTGCAAAGGCCAAAGAGCTGGGGGCCACTGAGTGCATCAGCCCACAGGACTTCAAGAAACCCATCCACGAGGTGCTGAAGGAAATGAGTGGTGGAGGTGTGGACTTTTCAATTGAAGTCGTTGGTCGGCATGACACTATGGTATGTACTCTGACTTGTCTTGAGATGTGTGCTTCTGCAATCTGAAGTCTGCTTTAGGCAGCAGAATATAAACATTATGTACAAATAATATTTTTTAAATTAGGAATGGCAATTTTTCATCTCCTGTTTATTACCTAAGTCAGTTGCCCTTGAGTAGACTCTGACTCATCACAACCTCATGTGTGTCAGAGTAGAAGCGTACTCTGTAGGGTTTTCACTGTGCTGTAGGGTTTTCACTGTGCTGTAGGGTTTTCACTGTGCTGTAGGGTTTTCACTGGGTTCCACAGGGTTTTTTTCAAAAGCAGATCACTAAGCCTTTCTTCTGAGGTGCCTCTAGGTGGACTAAAATGCCAACATTCTCACTAGCAGCTGAGCATTTAACCTTTTGCACCACCCATGGACTCTATTCGATTGTTTTATTTCTTAGGAGGAGTTTTTCATTCTATCAGCTAAATAAACCTGTCTCAAGTAATATTTCCCCTTTAGAAGTTTTTTACTGAACCATTGTAAATTTATTTTATTAATATTTAGTTTTAAAAATCCTTCAAACTCAAGGAAATAGAAATAAAACAAATTCTGTTCTCAAACTGGGAAAACTTTAATTTACTCATATTTTTAACAAAAATATTTTAACAAGTTTTCATACGTTTTAATGAATTCTGATTTTTTCCTCATGTCATTCTTGGTCAGAAGGAATACTGAGCAATTTTACACCTAGCGTTATTTTATTAACAGAAAATAGGTCATAAATAAAGTGACTGCTTTAATGTATCACTGTATATTCTTACAGCAGAGAGCATAGGACCTGGTACATAACAGGTACCTAAAATCTATATGATGACTTGAATCCTTTAAAAACTCAACAGATTTTACCACCAAAAAAAAATTGAAGGCGTATATATTTCATAGCATTGTTTGTGGATTATATGAGATGATGCACATAAAATACTTAGCACAGAGCCACCCGGTAAGCTGTGGTAAGCTCTCAATAAACTAGTATTTTTGGTATAAAATATTATTTCCAATCTTGAAGTGCTTCCATCATCTTTGAAATGAGCATGATATTGCTTTCAAATAACTACAAACATCATCAATACCATTGAGGACCACATCTCCAGTATATAGTCCACCTAACCAGAATTCTCTAGAACCCAAATGAAGCAGTACTCAGACCAACAAATCCCAATTGTTGAACTTCTCCAGTAAGTCCCAACAGCATTAGTAATAGGGAACAGCATCCTGAGCATAACGCTCTTTGCAATCTTGACCTGGGACAATATGCCATAGACAACTGACGTTCCAAGGGAGCCCAACTTTTTCCAAGGCTGAAGATTTTCTAAGTTCTTTTTCTGTTGTTTTTTCCCCCATTTTCTCATGTGGAACTGGATTGTTACTTTATTTGATGATATCAAATGTCTGATATTCCCATGTTCTAAAGGTATCTTCATACTTCAAAAGCAAGGAACTAATTCTTAAATATCCCCGGGGTGTCCCAAACCATTTTCTTAGTACCAAACTTCTTCAAACCTAGTTGGAGGGAAAAGCTTTAAGAGACAGTCTTTTAAGCTTCTGGAATAATAGGTATAGTTTAAAGTAAAACCAGTATACATTCTTGGGAGGTAAAAACAACATTTAAACATTCCCATGTTATAAATGAACAGTAGAATCAGGATCATTAAAAAGGGAGAGCATCAAGTGGACAAGAAACAACTTAT